GTGCTGGCCCGGGTTCAGCTCCTGTGGCCAGGCAGTAGTACGGAGTTGCAAGATGTTGCAAGCGTTCTTGCGATCCAAGCGATTCTCTGCCAACATCCAGGACGGCTCCTTCCGTGCCGCAAAAATTCTCTTGTTGAGCGTCGTCAAGTCAGTTTCTAAGCGAGCGATCAGCGCAAAGCATCAGAAGCCTGACCACTCTCGTATTAGAGTCCGCATGTTAGCAATAGCTCGCGGTTGTTTTGCACGGGTTGGTTGAGCCGATGGACTGGTCCTGGGGATTGATACCGGAGCTGTCGCCGCAACCTCCAGAAACGCATCATTATTTTGCAGCTGAAGGAGAGCACATGTTGCAGGCCTTGTGGTCACGGCTCCGATCTCGGTGCGTGTGCTCCTCCTGCTGCGCCGGCGTAGCGAGGCTGCTCTGTTCAAGGGCAGTCATTTTGCACTGCGCCTGTTGTTTTGACCTGTCCGCAAACCCGCCCGCTTTGCGAGACCCGTCCGGGGGTCGCTTGGCACGTCATTGCTTGGAGCCACCCTTCGGAAGAAATCGTGGCAGAAAACCGTGGGGAAAAAACTGGACGTGCAAAGCTAGCTGGCTTGGATTTGTCAAATGATGGCCGACCTGGCCGACATTGGCCGACCATGCCGCATTTCCTGCAGGCTTGGGCCCTAGTCAGGTTTCGAAAATAGACTTATGTCTAGATTCATTTCTAATGCAAAATTCAAACTGGGAGTGTGCCGAAAAGTATTCTCGTTGGCCATTCTAGACGCTGTATGTACAGGGGAGTGGCAGCTCAACTTACACTCCGTGAGCCACTGTCCCTGCAATTCTGCCTAGATTTGGCACACACTCTCTGCAATAAAATGTGCTTGGCAATCCTTCGGATAGTTTGGAAAGCACTTACGGGAGTAATGCGCGGCTGGGCCTCGATGGACTTGAGATGGCCATGACAACTTCACGTTTGGGTGCTCACAAGGCAACGCTTAAACCACGCTGCCAACGCAGGAAGAGAGTCTCTCCGCCCCGAGTGGTTTTGCTGGGAAGGACTCCGCAGCTCTCGCGCTTTCAATTGCTGGACAGCAGCTGTGCAGCATACGAGTGTGGTTCAGGAGGTGCTCTCTGACTGGGAAGTTCAGGCAGGAGATCTTGCACGGAGCGGCATTGCGCGAGCTTAAGCAGCCTGCTCAGAAATCATCACTGGTAGGTTCTCAACGGTGAAACTGACACAGAGGAAGGGCCGCTGCTAGGCTGCACCCAGAAAAGACAGCAAAACCAGGCAGCTGCTGAACCAGCAACTGTAACTTTTGCAGGTACTCCGGCCGGAAGTTTATGCCAACTCGCGGCTATTTCGCCTGCATTCGGTGTGGTTCAGTTGCTCGGCATTTGCGGCGCAGCATATTCTTGGTTGTTTTCTTGTACAGGACGTTCCTTGCCGCTCTACACATCCCCCTACCACAAGCAAGGTCCTTTTGAGGATTTCTTGTGCCAGGCCACAACTATCCTTCTTTGTATCAGTAGTCTCACATGCTTTTTTACAAGCAGAGATTACACCGAGCAGACTGTTGTAAGACACGATGTAAAATGGGAAAGGGAAGCAAATAAGGACCTTGACGAGTGCCAGGCACAAGCGCTTACGTTTGCTCATGGTATGTCCAGGTCCAGGGGCAGATAGTAAGCCAGGATGCCAGCAAGATGCCATGTCCTCTTCCTGCATCTAACCAATGGAGTTCCAAGCTGCTGAAGACAAGGTTTGCAAGACTTCACATGCAATCACAGCCAAAATGAAGTGGAAAGCAAAGAAGAAGGGTCAGAAGAAGGAACGAAGGCCCCAGGACCGTTTTTGGAAAATACCCCGCAGCAGCTGCCTCTCCCGCAGCCAAACTCCGCCAGCGCATAGCCATTCAATTGCACGATTTGCACTCCTCGGCTGCTCGGCTGCTAAGCAGCTCGCAGCAGCATTGTTCCAGCCACCACCCGTGCGACAGGCAGCGGAGGGCCATTACGCGGCTACGTGAATGGGTTTCTTCACCTGCCGTGAGAAGCTTTGAGTCGCCAAAACGACCTTACCCCTCAGGTTGCAGAAGCGGATGGAGAGACTTGGGTACACTGTAGTGTTGATAAAGTCGGAAGCCGGCTGGGCCAGCAGGGCGGGGCAGGCAAACGCGTGGGAGTATGCGGCGAGCTAACGATTGCAACGATGTGGCACAGGGTGCCGGATGGTGCAAGGTGTCGTAGCGCATGGATTCCCACTTCTGTGGTCAGCACCAGCCACTGGAGCAAGTGAGGCACCTGTCGACAGCTACTACCGGATGCAAATTCATTCCGATTGAATTACTGTCTGCTTTCCGTCAGAGGTCTCAAGCACTGCACTGGCACATGGCGCATGTCAACGTGCTTCCTGCACGGAGTAGACAAAAAAAAATACATTAATAATATAAAAGGACAAAGGGCAAGCAATTGAAATACAAACCCCTACTGCAGCCACTTTTACAGCCATCTCCGGCAAGGTTGAGGCTGTCGTCTTATGTCGTTTTGCCTCTTTTAGTTGAGTCCAGAAGGGTTCAGGCGAGGTCAAAGATGTCTTGTCTGTCGGCGGACGCCTTCACTCAAACAGTCGTACAAACAGGCTGTCCGCAAGCCAGAGCCTCGGCGCTTGCGCATTACCATTCCTAAGCAACTGCTTCATATTTGTTCTATCGTACAGCAATAGCCGGACGCCTAATATGAGAATCGATGAAGTACGGCAAGAAATTGACGAATACTCGAGCCCAAAATTCTGCAAATGATCTGACAGCCGGTCCCGTAGCACATGCTGGACTGCTAGCCACCCAAACGCTTTGCATGCACGGAGACTTCTTTGGCGTGAGCACAAGCTTCACATGAAGCATGTTGTCACTGAAACGCTCCACACAGACGGCCAAGCTAGTGCTCAATCTCGTCTTCTCAGAGAAAATCTTGACGCGAGTAGACCGGGGTAGACGGACTGAGCGCCTCCTTGCCCATCAAAGTATGTAGAATTGTGAGTAAACCCTGACGTTTACATCTGACCTGGTGGCCAACAGAAGCAAGGAAGTCTTCTATTTTGTTATACGTTTGGAGTGAAACAGGAACCGCCTTCGCAGCCAGAATTTGAGGAAGCTAGCCGTTTTGCTGTTTATGCATTGCCATACTGAGGTGATTTACCTGGCGCAGGCAAAGTTTGTGCACTGACAAATCTGGTCTTCTTTTGACCAAAGCTGTAAAAACTCTGTGTCTATGGTGCTGGAAGCTGATGGACGTGTGGAGGTTCGATGTGTTTCACGGCTGCATCTGTCATCAGTCGCAGACAAGTAAACCTATCATCCTCTTTCGTTCGGGCCCACGATTTTGGGGATGTTGAGCTTGAACTCTCCACCTAGGCCAAGTGCAACGGTCATTTGGGCCACATTTTCGATCCTGATGACGGAGCCAAGCGGACAAACCAACGGCACTGCGTGGCTCAGAAGCACCGTTCGATTAAATCAACTTGTTCTCCGATGTGTTGTGTGCCAGTTACATACGTTCTGCTTCTTGTGACAGACGCGCTTGCAGGTAAACGACACTGCCATTCAGTACGTCATGCATCCCCCTCCATCAGGTACTGAGGAAGGGGGTAGGTTAATACTGCCGACCTAAAACATATCTCGAGACGTAACTCAGCAAGCCGTAAGTAGAAATGACCGCAACACGCAGTGCTTATAGTACAGAAATGCATAGTCAGTATCACTGCACGCAAGCAGCTAGAGGAGCATGCTCTTGGTAACAATGCAAGTGAAATTTGTTTCAGCTTGTTTGGACAAGCTGCAGCTCATGCCGCAGAACACTCCACAAGGCTGTGATGTTATGCCAGCCTGATTTCATTTCATTCAGCATCCGCATCTCTGCAAAGCAGACAGTGCAGCAGCAGCTAATTATCGAATCATTCGGAATCAGTCTAATTGGGGTGGGTTCTCCGTAGGGAGGCCACATCCCAGCCCATGCAAAAGGCACCGCAGGAAAGCTGCTTGGCCCACAAATTGCGTGCCAGACCTTCACTGGTTGGCGGCAGCCACCGTCCATGGCAGTTGGGCTTCTACGTGACAGCAAGGGAGGCATACGGGTTCATTTCATAATCATCTTCGATCCTAGGAAGACCGCAACGCCTCCGCAGCTTGATCAGAAGCACTGCTTGGATAATCGCTCCGGAATCAGACGGGAGGTGAAAGCTTCCGTGGCACGATTGGGCGCAAGGGAGAGCTTAAGCAAGTGCAGTGATACAGGAAAAGTCCTAAGATACTGCAGTGGGTTTTACGAGCTGCGAGGGTGACCTGCCAAGCTTTGTTTGATTTGGACAGTGTTCGTGGCCTCTTGCTACATGCATGAGCAGTTGTTCGACAAGCTCTTCAAAGACTCTCACAGGTCAGGGCTTCTAGGATTTTTTCACTACTTTGAGGTGTTTGGAGGTTTAGACTGATTCAGGTTGCTGATTAGCTTGAGCTGCTTGAGTGTATGAAAGCTGTCTAGCCTTCAGGCTAAGGACTTCAGGTGTTGGCATTAGGCTTGGTTTAAGCTCAGGGCTACGAGGCTCTGGCCTTTGCAGTATTCAGGATGAGTGATAGGGCTTTTGGCTTAAGCCTCCCAAATCTGCTGGCACAAAAATGCGAGATGCCGGCAACGCAGACTCGAATTGCCTTGACAGTTCAATGCAATCTAGTACATGGTTTCATTCCCTTTTAGGCGACAGCGTATACAAAGCACTGACAAAATGCAGGGGTTGGCCCACCCAGCACATATAGGGGAGCAATGCGAACACATGTCCGTATCATCACCGCTGACAGTTGCATCAGTTGTCAAACTTAGGCGGGTAGACATGTGTAGACTTCGCATCTTGTCTCGAAACTGATGCGGTAAAGATTAGCTGAGCAGTTGAATGCAATTTAGCTAGATGGTCATGATAGCAAGTGTGGTTTGCAAGCCAAATTCGGTCTGCAATCAACGAGCCATGGATGCTTTCACGCATGAGCAGGCGAGCGAAATTCAAGACGAGCAGCACGCAGGAGTAACAGAGACCAACCATAATCTGTGTAAAAGCAGAGCTTGACCTTTTTTTAAGAAAGCGGCTTCGAGACGGTGTCAGACGCCTCTCCATCTCCGAACTCTTGAGAGACGGACGATTGACAGAATTGAACAGGCCTGCAAAGCAACGGCCGCTCTGAGAATCCAGCATGACCTGGAGGCCAAGGCCAGGACGCCATTTGCTAGGCAATCGTTGCATGGCATTGCATGGCTGTACTGCAAACCCGAGAGGCACGCGAAGGGCCCAAAGCCGACCCAGGGCCGCGGACTTCAGACATGACGGTTGGCCCTCGCCTTGGGCGACCGTAGCAGACAACAACTCTGAATCACCGAGAGGGTTCTCTCATTCAGGAGAAGCTCTTCAAGAGATTGAGGACAACATGATGAGCCTCTTGGAAGCACTCCGTGCCTGCGCATTGCCTTTCCCTACATCAGAGAGGTCCCAAGGTCCTAGGCCTCAAATGCAGCACCCCAAACGCCAACGAAGCATCTGTACCCAGACATGATTATGCAAAGCCTCGCAATCCATCGATAGTATCTCAGTCAGCAGCATGGAATGCAACATGTACGCGTGCGAGCATTGAGCATGACCACGTAATCAAAGGCCACGAAAAGGACGAGCCTGACAGGTTTCACCAGCTCCTCGTGGGCAGCGCATTCCTTCGCAGTCTCATAGCTACCACCCACACCGATGCCCTGCTTTCCGAGCAATGAAAAGCTAATCCTGGGTTGTGATCAGCTTCTCATAGCTTCTCCACCCTGGCTGCGACCGGTGCGAACATTTACTCAAGCAAAATAATCGTCAGGGGCGCTGGGAGCTCTCGGGTTGGGTGGCTTTGGTGTCCTTCAGGGCCTTTCCCACCAGGTATGTTGAGACTGCCAGGTGGTCCGCGCATCTGTTCTCGAAAAGGCTAGGAAAGCCGTACCCTGTCAGCTTTTTAGTGCTGATCCAGGTTTCGTGGTAGTGTCGGAGATGATTGACTCACCACATGAGCTTGTTGGCTTGAGACAAGGATTCATTTTTGGACGATCGCTCCATCTCTGGTTCTCCCTCCTTGAAAAGTTCTGGGAGCCGCTCTTGCTGGTTGCCGAGTCCCTCCTTGGTCTCACTCCTGGCTCCTTCAAGCTGGCATCCAACACTGTCACCACATGCAGCATGGCAGCCCAGAATTCAGGGGTAAATGAAGGGGGGCGGAGCAAAGGTAGACTACCCTATGAGCCGTTGACAAGGTTCACCGAAGGCCTAAGACCACTGCCTTCGTCAAACCCCCTTTTCCTTCGTCAAGTTTTGTGAAGGCATCTGCTTGCTTGACAAGGCTCATCAACCCATGAGCCTTTGACAAAGTGTGTCTAAGGCCCCGCTCCTTCGTCAAGCCCCCCTTTTCCTTCGTCAAGGTTTGTCTAGGGCTCTGCTTGCTTGACAAGGTTTGTCACGGGCGCTCTGGGGGTCCGCCCATCGGGGGGTACCCTCAGTTTTCCCCCTAAGAATGCTTGGAGATTCGCCTTGGCCTGAGACAGCCCGTTTGACCATGCTAGGAACCGGCTTGTGTACGACCAATGTTCCCCTTCAGTATGCACCCGCCATTGAGAACGTCAGCGCAGGATCTACACAGGCAAGTCGGTTCTTGAACGGGTCCCACAGTCTTGCACGGCCTGGTCCCACAGTCTTGCGCGGCCTGCTCAAAGCAAAAGCACTCTGGACAATGAGATCAATCGCTCACAGCACAAACCACCAAAGTCTGGGTGTGCTGCACGCGTTTGTCGTACATGTTGTCTGCAAGCATTTGCAAGCGTTCGCTGAAGACGCCGCTGATGAGACTCTTTCAGAACCGGCATAATCACAATCTTTTGAGTGTGCAAGAGCATCCAAAACTAGCTCATTAGCCAGCCAGGCATGGCGCGTGGTGACAAGCAGTTCCTGCCAGTGCAGCATAGCATGAAGCTGACACATTTCCACAAAACTTTGCATGGTACGTGAAGATGGGCCAAATCTCGAACCATCAGCATGGACAGGGTTGTTGCTTTCGTGGGGCCTCACGTTGCTCAGGTGAAAAGTTTTGGGTTGTTCGCCTCTCAGCTGATCAAATTCCGACCCCATTGTTTTCTAGCTCTATATCTGGATACAAGATCTAAGAAATCAATTGGCTCAGGACTTGGGGCAAGGTATCTTCGAGACTAGACAAGCTCTCCAGCAAAATTCCGAGGCCACAGATAGTAGCATCATGTTGTGCATACCCTCCAATCGAGAAGCTTTGTTGCCACCATGTTGTCAAGTTTTCCGGAGGCAGGACAAAAAAAGGCCGCTCCAGCCTTAGGCGCAGAATGGCCTAGGCATGTGTCGTCGTACAGCGTTAGTGCCTGCACAACATCGAGGCAGCGTGTCTCAAAGAAGTCTCCGACCAAATCCAAGATCTACAAAGTATGTACTTTGCGAACGAGAGGCAGCGTTTGCTTGTGCAGCGTCGCATTTGCATTTGGGGCTCAAAAGATGGTAAACGCATGCATGCTCATCAATTGCCTACAGGGTGCCTGCTGCCGGTGGCAATGGTTCTAGTACCCATTGTTGTCAGCAGAAACTCAGAGAGCTTGATGCAGGAACGTCATTGAACAAATACGCCGGATGTTTGAAAGCAAGGCAGGCGCGCTGTGGGAGAAGGGGGTGTAGGCATTGTGCATATTTTTAGCGTTTCGTGCGAGGCTTCTACGTTACGCTTTGTGCAAAGAATCGCGTAGTGGATACTTTCATGTCGAAGCGACAACCGGCCAGTCCACTTGCATAATGATGGAAGGGACGCTAATTCTGATGATTTAAAAGGACTATGTATTTTCCCGTTAAGGACTGATCGCGACTGATACAGCATCATTCCCAGCACATTGTCAAGACCGTCTAGACGAGACGTCATGTGCCACTCATGTTCTCCTCACTCGTCTCCAGTTTGCTGCAGCTTGAGGCTTGTGATTGTTTTTCTTCCTGACTGAGCAGTCTGATGACAATTTGCAGTGTTCTTCGAACGTGGTCCACTGACTGACGAGCCAACAAAAGCCCACACAAGTGGCTGTGGGCTGTTGGTGCCTGTCCAGATTGCAGATTTTTTGCTGGTCAACCAGAAAGCACACTTGTCTTGGCAACGGAACTTCCTGGACTTGTGCCTTTCGTAATTGTCATATTTTGTTTGGTTCAGGGCGCATGTTTCGGGAGAGATGGCTTAAGTAGCCAAACCTCAGCATGTAGGGGCCTAGACGCCAAGTCTTTTGCTTTGCACTGTGCTTCGGTGACCATGCTTTGCAAACAAGTGATAAAAGTGAGGGCTTCATCCGGTTTCAAGCCAGTTTTGACTTGCGACATGAAGCCCGAAGCAGTCCCGATGTAGTGACACTTCCATTTCATCTCTCCATCCAGACTCGTGCCGATTGCTGGCTCTCTGCAGTCTGCATGAGTCTCGGCGCAAGCCCAAACACCAGATCCTAAATGCACAACAACAACACAGCATCACTACGTTACGACGCCAAAGCGCCAAGCGCTAGTGATGTATATTGCAAACTCAATGCAGATCTGATTCTCTAATGAGAAATAACATCCACTGTGTACCCCGACAGCTTTGCGCACCATATACGTAGCCGTTGAGTTTTCTTTGGCCGTTGATTCACTTCACTTCGCACACAAAGGATTCCCGTCAAGTTGGTGCTTCTACTCAGGAGGAGTTCAGTGTGGACTGTCACGGGCTCTCGAGTCCCAACAAGCTCAAGAAATTGAAAGACTTCGTTCGCAACACCAGCTCTGCACCCAAAGCTGGTGTAGCTGTTCTATCTTGCCTTCAGCCCAGACGCCGGAGCTGCAGCGGCAGCCATGACAGCCATGCTTCGATAGCTGGAGATCTATAGGTTTTCTCGGTATGCTGGTCCGAACAATGCTGGTCGATCTGGTGCGTGTCGTAGACATCACAGCCGCAGTTGTTTGACGTGCATCAACCACCGTTCCTTTGCCAGAGCTGCAAGTGGTCCTAATGCTCGCATCAGTAGTATAGAGCCCTCTTGTTGAAAGCTTGCTTTGAGTGGGCGAGATTAATCTGCAGATGATTGATAAAGGCGGACTTGAAGCTGGGTTTGCTGCATAAGGTTTCGTGGGTCTCCACGGGCCTTGATCATCTTGCCAGGTGCCAAGACAGGGCTTTTTTGAAGAAAAGCGCAACGTCGCCAGGAAATCTGAGCCCGCTTGCCGAGTTGGAGACTCTGAATGAAATTTCTCCAAACACAATGAGATGCACCAGCTGACTACAGTCTGAGATGCGTACAACAAAAATCATGTTGGGAGACATGGTAGGATGCGGGGGAGAAAATGGAATTGCCTCCCCTACCCCACATTGCAAAATCATAGCTTAACGGCTTTGACCGAAGTGGGTGGTCCTGGGCTAGCCAGACGACAAAGACAGCTACATGCCATTTCGAGATGTTGGCCTAGGTGAGGCCTTGCAGCCTGTAGGGGTGGTGTCTGGGTCTTCTTCCATGGCTAGCGAACAACAAGAAGCATTGCTTGGCGGAGCGGCAGTCAAGTTGCAATTTGCCCTCTTCAACTAACGCATCCTCAAGCCCTTTTTTTGCATTCTTGGAGATGGCTTTGCAGCATTCGCATTATGCTCCGCCTGGAGATTGCTTGTTCAAGATTGACCTATGCTATGTGAAAGCACGTTACAGCATCAACTTGCTGTTTTTTGATCTGGTCACCCGCCAAGCAGGAGCCGGTAACCCTCGAAAGGCACCTCACTGGCGTGAGGACAATGTTGACGGCCGTCATTTCAGCCATCTGCTAGTTGAGAACAGGACAACTCGCTCTGAGGGCACGCTTCTCAGCGTCTTACTTTCGCTAACAAGACTGCAGGCTTCGGGGAATTCTGCGCCTCTGTGGCTTGGACTTAGGTCAGGAGACAGGGAAGCAACAACATCGGGCCAAGGTATAATGAGCAGCTGGTACTGTGAGCTCTCCACGCATCATGCTCGCTAGTGTACCCGTCTTGTGCAGGGGCTGCAGCAAGCCGGGTCGGAGATCATCCACCAGCACAGCACCCAGCTTTATTGAGTGTGGAAGGATGACTGTTGCTTGCATTCAGAAGCGTGCGGTAAGGCAGCAGACCAAACAAGGCCCGTGGAACTTTCACGAGGCAGGCAGGCTTGTTTGGCGCGTCACGCACATCCAGATGTTGTTTCAACAGGTCAGCAACAAAAGCGAAATTACCGTGGAGGTTCAGGTAGGCATGCAGATGCAAAAAGCGCATCTTCTGTTCACTAGATATATTTCTTTGGTTGATTCAATGATTTCATATGCTGCTTTGGGGTAGACAGCAGCAGATTCAGCCAGCATGAATATCCCGCAGGTGCCACCAAGCACTCAAAAAAGCGACATTACCGTGTGTTCCTGAGCAAGTTTCTTCGTGTTAGTCAGAGGGATCTGCCGCAAATCCCAGCCTCAGGTCAAAATGCAGCCCAGTCGATTGGTAGTAAACGTCAGGGGCCACGAGGCCATGCTGCTTTCGGGTTTGGCAATGCCTGCAGATATGGCATAGCTGGTGCGCAATGCAGGCAGCCAGCATGGGATAAGGAAACTGTTGCTATCAATGGTTGCAAGTGGTACTTCCTCGTGGTACTCCCTCGAAAAGAAATCTGCTGGGACTCCAGGTGACATTATATAGTGTGTGGGTGCTTTCATTAGATACTTTTTTATTTGGTATGGCAAGGGCAAAGAAGGCCTAGCTCGGGAACCTAAAACAAGACCTGGAATGATAGCCGAGACACCAAGTTCACGACAGGTGTCAGAGCACAGACACAGCTGCATCGCCCCCACAGACACACGGTGTCTCTACGAAGAAATGACCAGTGAAAGTTCTGCCGACAATCCCTTGATTTGTACACAAAACCTGTGCAGCACGTGAAGGGACCCCTTAGCCACAAGGTATGCAGGGGCACTCACCTTTTGACTGACAATTTTCATGGCGGAGCTATCAGGAAGTAGATGTCAGGGAAGGACATCTCCATGCAACAAGTGTTGAATTGCGCGTGAAGTTTTTCAGATTTCGTAAATCACTGGTTTCGCAGGGGCCTGCAGTTGTGCTGACAGGAACTTCCGCGGGGTTTCCATTTCAGGCATTTAAAGCAGGTCGCTTTGGGCCCCAATCTCTCAATGACAACATTGGCAGGGCATCTACACGGGGCCCAAGACCCCGTGTCGATGTTTTTATGGAATACGACCACGGTCTGGCCTAGAAGGCCTTGGGCGAGAGTTCGCAATGGTAAAACTACGCTGGATTTTTGCAAAAGAAGTACCGTAAGCTAAACTTCCTCACATGCGGGTGGTAAAGCATCATTTAAGAGTTCAAGCGTTGGCTTCTCCTTCAAACATGCTTCCGGGAACGTTCGTGATCGTGTTCGCGAAGCCAAAGGCAGAATGGGCCGTCCAGGAATAACTGTCTGTAGCATGACACAAAGATTGCCAGAATGAGTGGCAGAAAGATGTTTGGTGTGCATGGCAGTATGTGAACAAAGCCCAGACCTTCTTAGACACACTTCGTGTGCAGAAACATGTCATGCAACTGCCAACTTTAACAGAGACCTGCAGTAAGGGCGGCAAGTTCATATGGGACTTCTCCACCCAAAACCAAGTGGGTTCCGACTGTCTCCAGGTGAGGGGAACAGCTTGCAAAGAAAAACGTACAGGAGAATGCATAAAGAGATGAGGCATTGGTTCAGCCTTGGTTATATACAGTCATGATATGTAAACCATAAACTCTGTTGCTAATGCAGCGGGACCCACCCACAGAATCGAGGAATGGGATTCATGGCGGGCTCCACTGAAAATGGCGGGTTCTGTACACATCCTTATTCATGATATGCCGTGTCAGCATTAGCTTAAGCAGGACCTACTGGTATATGGGCATTTCGGATGAATGGGAAAGTTGAGAGGGACGACTCTATGCAAAGAGATGTCATAGCAAGGGAGGCCATGGTATTTTAGAAAGAAACGTCCGTGCAACATAGTAGGACTTCATAGAAGAGGTGTGGTGATCAGAGAGGCTTCCATAAGACGGCAATCACAATCTGTATTTAAAATGTCGGCTTTCTGGCCCCTAGCTCCATGCAGATGATCTGGTTGTTTAAACCTCCTGGTACAAAACCAACTGAGTTGTGGGTAGGTCTGCATCGAGGTCGGCCGGCATATCATAATTTCGAAAGTTTCATGTTTCTACTTGAGAACTAACAACAACTGACTCCTTCCGGAGGCAAACTGTCCAGAGGGTCCGTTATGCTCAAGGTTTCTGCAGAATCCAAACTCCCAAGAATCCCGGAAGCACTGAAAGATGTTGAAACGGTCGGGGCAGCAGGGCGTCACACACTCCTGAAAAAGGGCCAGTTAGGAACCTCCTCCCAATCATAGGCCACTTCCGCGGCAACAGGCGCACCGGACAACAAACCTTACAAAAAGAAAATCACCACAAACAAATGTTTGGTAGATTCGCGATGAAATCTATGAAATCTGCTCTGCAACTATCAAAAGGGAACTCTCATTGGAATCGTGGACTCTTGTATTCAGTTAGACAGGCCTCTACTCTTGTCGCTTACAATAAAATTTAAAAAAAAAAAAAAGTATTGATGAATACTCCGGCAGATCGTGTACTACTGGGGGAGGGGGACATCTTTTACTGTTACGGATTACTTGCGGACATGTGACAGCAGGAGAGAGGAATTGCAAAAGACAACATTACCAGCTCGGTCCACACCTGGAACGAACAGGGGGTGCGGGTGGCCTGAAGAAAAGCAGGGGGTTGGTGTGCATGGATCAGCCCCTGCTGTGGCAGATTCTCTTTCAGGGACACAGGCTTTGCAAGGATACAGCCAGGGTGCGAACAGCAATGCCAAGTGGAGCACCGGGAGGTGCGAACGCAGCGCTCCATCTAATGCGCAGTGACTGGGGGAAGCACAAGGTGCAAGTCAGGAATTGTTTCCTTGTCGGCTGAGCCTCTTCTTCAACCAGCTTTGCAATGGACGGTCCCCATCCCCCGAACGAGAACTTGAGGCTTTGCGTCTAATACGTCAATATCCCGGTTTTGAGTCGCGTGGTAAAACACCGGGTGTTGAACCATTCGTTAAAACCATGGCGGCACGCTCGTGCATCTGAAACTCAATGTTCAGAGATGTCGTGGGAGGTCGTCAAAGCAAAAAATCCTCTGGCATTTGCGTGAAAATCCTGCTTTTGTCAAGTATTTCTTGTTGAAAGACGGCGCCGGCACGCTCGCGCCTCTGAGATTTGATTTCTAAGATCCGTCCGTCATGTACGTAATTATGTACCCCCCGACCCCCTACCCCCCCACCCCACGCAAACAACAACTACCGGTTGTGCGCAATGTGTCACAGACCCGGTGTTGCCTCATATGTTACCCACCGGCTGCAGCGGCGGCGGCACACTCGCGCATTTGCAATGCAAATGTCAGACAAGTTGTTGGGTGTCGCCAAAGCAAACAAAACAAGTTGTATTTACAAGGGCTCCTGCTCTTTTGAAGCACGTGTGGTAAGCCAAAGGGTGGGAGAGCTAGAAGTGGGGTCACCGCGCCAGGGTACACCTGAAATCACGCTACATTCTGCACATTTCTGGCTCCAGACATTTGAGATACTGGCCCCAAACATTGCAGTCCACGGATCCGAAAAAATGAGGTCACCATGCCGGGTGTGCCCCTCTTACCTGTGCTTTGTCCCCGAATACCCCAAGATTCAAGGCTTGACTGTCGGCCAAAGTAGACGGAACGTTAAGTTCGCAGACTCTCATCTCGAAACCGTCGTTCCCCGCACTTCCTGTATTCTGATTTCAGCATGTGGGGAGAACAACTGAAGGAGGTTTCGTGACAAACGACGGGAGAACCAAGTTTCCGAGAGGTTCAAGCACCAAAATGAGGATCCATGATAATGGCTGGGTACGATGCCTGCCGCGGAACTCACAATAATTGGGTTCCAGTTGTCATGTCACGATGCCAGTCTGTAAGAAGTCTATAAACGTCGCACAGTGCATCGCTGGGTCTCGACTGTGCCGAGATGAGCTGCTCAGATTGTTTTTGTTTGCTGCCTCATCTGCTAGATTCAGCCTGTCATCAACGGACAGCTTGCTGGGGAGATCGACGTTGAGGCGCTGGATTCGGAACGGCTTGTGGATAAATGGGATTGCCGAAAGCCATGTAAGGGCAGCAGCTGGACGCTCGAGGCGCAAGTGCCAAAACGTTCTCGGAAGCTTGTTTCTTTGGCCCTTGAGCACTCAGCACAAGTTGTGCAGTTACTGCCTTGCAACGAGGAGGCTCGAGGTAGGCTGCTGACTCGAGCACTACAATTCTAGATCAGTACCTCAGGCTTACCATGCAGCCTAGATTAGCTCAGGGGCTACCTGTCTATCAAATAGACGCTCGGCTGCATGCCGTGAAATGGTAGGCATCAGCAGTTGGTTGCATCGATGTAAAAAATCGTGAGTGTTTACAGCAAGGCAAAAAAAACTTGGCGTATAGCATGGCTTGCATCGACGCAGGATGTGTAGCAAAGCATGTTTTGTGTCAATGCAATGTTAGTGGTGAATAGCACATTTTGCAACGATGTGAAAGTTCAGAATGCGTAGCATTTTTTATCGATGCAAACACTCTTCATGGTTCATTGCATCCTCTTCCATCCAGGTAGGAGACAGGCGTTGGATTTTTACACCGATGTAACAAATCATGTCGTGCTGTGTTGTTTCATGAGGAACAGAGCTCATGGCGTAGAGCAGCTTTGCGTTGATATAACAGGCATTTGGCACATAGTCTTTTGCACGTCGATGTAATGAACTAAGTGTGCATAGCTTTTCCATGGGTCTGAAAAAGCATTAGTGATTCACACGAATTCGTTCCGCGGCGCAGCGGCGAATTGCTTCAGGCACGACAGCCAGATGGCCATGGATCTTCTGGCACACTTTGATGCAGCGGTGCTAAGTCGGATATTGGCCGCTCTACCTCAAAGGAATTCACTTTATTTGACAACACTGGCACGAGACTGGTCGCACTTGATGGCTGGTCACCTATGGCGTTTGGTTGTAAGCCCAGACCTTTCCCCTGGTTTGGCGCGTATTGCTGCGATGCATTGTGCCCGCTTGCGAGAAGTTGTTTTTCAATCTACCAGTGCCGGGAAATTGCAGGCGGAAGCAACTGAGAATGCCAGTGGCTTTTGGGCCTTTGCTGCAGAAATCTGGTGCACCTTCCTGAAAAAACCAACCATCCGTCTTCGACAGCTTACTATTCGTAGTTCGACCGCGATGGGCGCCGCAACCACAAAAGAAATTGCGTTTCTGCATGAACTGCACAAATCAAGCGGGAGCTGCAGCCAACTTGAGACCTTTCAAATGGAGCACACGTCCGCAGGCGCTGACCATCTTGCCGTCAAGTCTCTGATCGTTTTTTTGCAGGATTTGCGTTTGACTTCTTTGAAGCTGCGTGATTGCAACTTGAAGGCCGCTGGGACCGTGGCTATATGCCATGCGATTCAGACTGGAGCACTGCTGAGCAGCTTGCTGGATCTCGACCTGTCTGAGAATGTTGTCGCTGAGGAAGGGGCGAACGCACTGGCGGAATTATTGCCCAACATCCGTCAGCTGCGTGCTCTTTCCCTGTCGGGCAATGGACTTGGTCCTGTTGGCTTGGCAGCCCTTGCACCTCAGCTCCCGCCTTCGCTCAGACACTTAGATGTCTCGCTCAATGGACTGGGCACAGTGGGCCTTGCGTCCTTGCTGCAAGCTGATCTTCATCTGGAATATTTGAACATCCGCGGCAACTGGCTGGGATCCACTGACACGGAAGTGCTGTCACGCCTCCTTCGGTTGATAAGCACAAGTCTCGTCAGCTTGGACATTGCGCAACCCGCTTGCAACTTGAAGAGCACCAAGTGTCATCTCTTGGGGGCATGCAGTCATGATTTCCAACCCCGCGGCGCCATTTGCTGGAGCTTGCCCCGGCCTGATAGGTCAACTGATGAATTTAATAACGGCATCACACATACACATGTCCTGTTGCAATTGCATCGAACATTCAACCCGCAATCACTACTCATATCCTTTTGTAGGCTGTGACATTGCCAAGCGCCATGGCAAAACCAGCGAAGGAGATAGGTGCAGCGATGGTTGCTGCCACGGCTGTGCCTCTGGCCCTGAACTGGACAGACGTCATCAAGACCAGAATGCAAGGCCGTTCAGTCACCTGCACTGACCCGGAGCACGTCTCTCCTTGTCATGCATTTGTTTCAGCTGATCACCCGTCCTCCCTCACCACTGTCAGGTGTCCCTTGTCCGGGTTGCACAGCGCTGGCTTACAGCGGGGGTTTTCTGAGCGTTGCGCAGCGGATTCTGGCAGAGGAAGGAGATATTGCTTCGATGGAAACATGCTTCTCTCAACACTCCTGCAGCGCTACCATGCGGTACCAGTTTCAGCGCAGGACTTCTGGCGCTGTGGGCGACTGGCATGCTCGCGTCGTTGGGACGCTTACTCGCACCTTTTGTTGCACAACATGTGCGCATTCTCTCCTGACGCGCAAGAATTCGTGATCGCCGCATGCATCAGTGAGCCTAGATGATCCAGGACGCGAGTGCACAGTAGTTGGGACACGCATCGGCGCTTATCCAGCTGTCCGAGATGGCCTGTCCAAGCTTGCCAAGGCCGTTTCGAGCAGAGTTTTGTTTGCAAGTGTGACAGACCAGCAGCAATCAAAGCCTCAGCTGCACAGTGGCAGGGGAAAGGCGGTGGTGAGGCAGCTTGGCGGCTGCTAAAAATGGAAGGGCATGGCGGCATGGGTTTGGCCAAGTCTGGACACCTTAGCATGTTCCCTTCTTTCATCGCAGGCAGGACTCGGCAGCAAGTTCAGCGCCGGCGTGGTGCTGGGAGCTCTATCCGGTCTGCTCGCTAGCCCCTTTGATCTGGTGCGGATAAGGACCGATCTTGCTGTGCTGTGGTCTGCGGTACCAAAGTGTAGTTGGACCATCGCCACGGCCTTGCTGCAAGGGTCCAAGCTGAAGCTGGCAGATGTGGCAGCAACGGCATCCTTACAACTGGACTTCGCGCGGGGCATCCTCAAAGAATTCGGGGTACAGTTGCCTGACATGAGGAGAGAATAAGTTGATCTCTAACACTTCTAATGGTTGGGAGGCAAATGAACTGCCAAGTAAACTTGTCTATGTTGCGCAGCAAGCGCTTTCCCAGGTCGTACTTGTAGCTGAAGGTTGTGCTCGTGCAGGTCCCAAAGAGTGATGGGTATACTGTAAGCGCGAAAGGGGACAGGCACGAGACGAGAAGCACACTGGCTGGCACGCACGTAGGCAATCCGTTTGCACCCTTGCAGACGTCGGCTGCAAAAGACGAAGCTTCTCAAAGAATCCTTAGCACTCCAAGAGCACTCCAAGGCTAGAAGGCGACAAGTGTTCCGTGGCTTTTGAGTTGTATTGACGACACAAGCTGTGACAGGGGATTTGGGATGGCAGTATCCCCTGGTACATACTGGTGGACGCACCGACGCACCATCAGTCCCAAAGCAACAACCCTCCCGCGAAAGATGCATGGAGGGCCAAAAAGCAGAGGGGGAATCAAATCTGGCAAGAAGCTCCGAGCGCCGCGACATTCAGACCTTTGAGCGGGAACGTGCGAAACAGTCTGGAGTGCAAGTGGCCGACCTTCAGCATCAAGGCTGGGGTGGCCGCGCAGTCACTACTTGATCGGGACAACGAAGAACGGATTTCTGCCAAAATGCATACTGCGCAGCGATGGAAGCTGCAGACAGGAGCTGCGCAGGAAGCGCGTGCAAGAAAGCTAAACCCTTTGTCTCCCAACGTAAGAAGGCAAGCGAATTCCGCCCGAAAAGATCGATTGACTTCCTACATTCTACATGCTTCATCGAAAGCTACTAAAGGTGTGCTACCGGTGCCTTTTTTTGTTTGTGCGTTCCGCTGGTCACTCCAGGTATCAGGCTTCAAGGCCGTGCTGGAAGATGGCACCCTCAGCATCTTCCGAGGCTCAAGCATCAACATTGCCGAGGGCTTACTTTGACAGTTTTAGCATTGAAAGCTTGGATTGGACAGCTTATTGCCGGTCCTAGGTTAGGAGCGTGTGCATGACCGTCGGTACCGTGCCGGTTTACGAGCAGCTTGGTCAAGATCTGGCTGCTTGATATGCAACTGCTGCTCGTGCAGCAAATTGTAATTCATGAATTGGCTCAGCATCAACCATCCACAGTCTCTGCAGTCAGGCAAGAGAGCTTTCAACAGAACCTGGAACTGAGCACCCAAAGAGATTGAGAAGGACCAGAGAATCCTTTGAGACTATGCGTTCGAAATGTGAGAAGCTGATGTTACAAAAAAAAAATGCAAAAGCCGTGTTGGACCAAGCCACGCCTTGGTCCAGGCCACCTCACCGTACTGAAGACTAGGCCTACCAGCCAAGGATCAGCTCACGGGTTGGCACAAGGGTCAGTAGAGGCGCGGTTGGTCTTGCCACAGCCTCCTGCAAAGTGCTTGGGCACCAGAAGCAATCCTTCGTGCTGTTAAGCCTTTGCAAGTTGATAAGGTTGGACCAGTATCACAGGCAAGGCAAAACTCCAGGGAGAGCCCAAGGTGCAACATTTTTCCCTAAAAGCATGCCAAAAAAATCGCCTCAACAATGAACAAAAATTGGTGATCCAGACATAGGCTTCCTTGCAGGTGACTAGCAAAACTTATTCCATAAAGGCGCCATGCTGAAGCGAATGCAGTGCAGAGATGTCACATATCATGTTACTACCTGCTCTGAGTGGGACAGTCCATTCGGACACAGCGGAAACCAACAGAGACAGATCTTTCCAGACTGTCGCCAGCTTGTGTCATTCGCCTGCCCAGGCACACCAAGCACTTGGCCAAAACAAAGCTGGACTTCACCGATTCGCCTGGTTTGCATTTGGGCGCGGGCATTGTCGCAGGACTTGCAGGAACTACGGTCACAGCTCCTGTACCTTGACAAAGCACGTCAAAGCACCGTCATCATGGCTAGCAAGACTTGCATGCTGTTGAGTCCATGATGTGCCGATGGTGTTGGCATGACCACTGCTTATTGCCACCACCCAAGGCAGATGTTGTGCGAACACGGGTGATGCAAGAAGGCTGCAGACCCAGTGCTCAATGCCACTGATTCCGTCTAAACAGCATAGGCTGTTCATGTTAAGGCGCCCAGCGCGCTGCAGGTTGTTGTAGTTTGTTATCGGCGGAAACCTGAATGGGAGGCGGTACTGCGGGCGCAAGAACGTTGTCGGCGGTCACTGCAATCCTTCGTGACCAGGGCGTAGGCGGCTTCTTCCGAGGATGGTTCCCAGCCTACATGAGGGAAGCTCGGATGAATAGATTGTCGGCACAGCTTTCCATTGCCGCACGTTGCTTTCACTGCCAAGCCTTCGGCTCCACCAAAAGCAACAGTCATCTCAGCCGCTGCATCCGCAAAGAATTCTGTTCCGAGTCGCCTCATCTATGACCCTGCGGCAGACCACCAAAGGGGCTGGAATGTGCCAAAGTGGTGGAGTGGGGCAAGGGGCGCAACATGCAATGCAAGCAAGGAAGGCAATTGACCAGAGAGGGTCAAAATGTCACAGCTGGAGGTTCAAGGCACTTTCAGTTGATGGAGTCAATTCTGAGCACTTCTTGCATGACAAGCACGTGAAAATTGTACCTGCCCTTAAAGCAACAGATGTGTACAGCTGAGTCGAGCCCTTTATTTTGCAAGGTGGGACCGTTGTTCCTCCTAATGCCAGCCTTGGTCGAGCAAGTCCGCAAGATCTTTGGCCTGGACTTCATCGTCTGAATCAAGGTCTCACCAATGCCTTTCTTACCGGAAGGCCTTCCCTTTCGTGTGAGAGAAGCCAGCTCCGGGAAATGTTTGGCAGCGTACTGGCCATGCATGCGAGAGTAGGTTCAGAGGAGGGGTTTTGAGCATTTTTGTTTCAAGTGTCAAGTCGTATTTACGATTCGCCTGGTCTATCAGGCAGCAAACTTGCGCGCAGCAAAAGACCCATTGAGTCATTGACGTGTCCATGTCAAGATTTTTGACGGAACCGTACTTCGTTTTCGTACAGTGTACAGGGGCGAAGGGCCTCCAGACAAGCAAGACATCAACTTGTCAGATGCCTCTGGACGTTTGGTCCATGAGGAGCTTGCAGTCGCATAGTCGATTTCAATTGACATCAGGGATGGCATCTAAGCTTGCAGCCGCATTGCCTCCGGCATCATAGGGCGATTGAGCACAGGAAGCCAACATGCTTCCCTTTCAGCTCTGCGGAATGGCACTTTGCTTCTGCCACCAGAACTGCATTGCGGCCTCAAGTGTTTGCCTTGCATCTTGAATTCCATGAAATGCTTCACAACTTCGCGAAGCAACGGCCGCACTGGCGGAAGACAAAAATCATGCTTCGGCTTCAAGCGCTACACGCCTCACGACTTGATGCATTTTTATCATGTTGCAGCAAGCGGTCACTGTCGAAGCTCAGGCAAAACAAGCTTGGGCCTACAGGAGTGCAAGAATTTCTGGAACAGCTCCCGTCTCCAACTCAGCTGCTGGATGGCACCGTACCTGGCGGTAAATGTTTGCATTAAGGATGCTGCCTAAGCTACGAATGCTCAGCCTGGCGGAGAATCAATTTGCAACAGCGATCTGGCCATATATTGGACAGTGGGCTAGCCGCAAATGAACACAGACAGCCAGCCTAAGGCGCATGTCTCATTGGACCCATAGGTGCACCATCACCTGTAACCTGGCACACGCCATGAATTTACTTTGAATATGCCATTGCCATCCCTGACTGGCTACAAAGCCAGTCGGTAGCTCTTGACATCTTGCAATTACTGAGGAAGCCTTTCCGTGGCTTGTATGCACATGGAAGATCTGTCTTGGTAAGTAGGAGCTGGCGCACTTGTTGGCCCAGCAATATTTTGCAAGGCGAAGCACTTTCAGAAACTTACCTGCAGAGGCATAGCTTTCATGTCGATTAATGCGTTGATTTTGCACGCAGGTTCCATGGCTGTTTGTTGCTTTTTTTCTGAACGATTTAGCAGCTTCTGCCGAGGAAACCTTGCCTCGTCTGCGCCCACTCTCGAAGACCTGAACTTGAACGCCAACGCGCTTGGCAGCGATCCAAACATTGCATGCGCTTTGCCTCAAACCAGAGGGCATTCTTGCCCTTGTTGGCTGTGCGGTTGCGCTGTGTTGCAATTTCTGGCCGGTAGGGAGCAGGGGGAGGTGTATGCCAGGGTATGGCGCCCGAGAGAGACTTCCCAAACATTACCAGATATGAAATCAGGACCACCGGGCGTCCATTGTTCACGCTGTGGGGACAAATAAGTTGCTGAGCCCTACCTGTTGGCTCAACTAGCAAAATTCAAACAACAATGTTGCATCTAAAACAAAAGGCGACCAACCAATTCCACGAGACCGCATAGCTTCCGAAAACCACTGCAAAGTTGAATTGATACACAAGCAAATGCTGTTTCTCCTGCCCGTGATCCTGTCCTCAGCATCACCACCATTCGTCCAAGCCCAGGCTTGTGCTCGCCTGTGTAACGACGAACAAGCATTAATTTGCGGCTCCAAAATCACAAAGGCTGCAAGGCTACGGTCTTTCTTTGCAGAAAAAGGTATTGAGCAACAGGGATGGGACAACTCCTGCAATGTTTCAATTAATATCTGATCTACACCCTCTCGTTCAACTTGCATTGGCTCGCACGTTTCCATGCTCTTGCACCATGGGATACGTTGTACACATTGCAGCCCTCCATCCGCATGAGTGTTCGAGTCCCTGCACGTCACCCAAAATGCATCTCAGGTGACATATGTGCAACCCTGCCACCGACACTCCGGATTCTGCATCTTGGTGCTTCCATGCTAAAAGGCCGGAACTCATGCAGGATCATGAGTGCATGGCAGTCAAAGAACAGTCTTTTGGTAGAGTCCCAACTGCTCTCTAGTGAGTCCAAGTTGAGGTAAACCGCAAACTCCGCTGGGTGTGGTCCAGAGAAAGCAGCAACTGAGAACCATGGCCAGGAGCAAACCTCGCGCTCGTCTTGCCAGTTCTCCAGCTTCCGTGCTTGGAACACTTGAGCACCCTGGCTGCCTCATCTTCAAGCATGTGCCACGTCGTTTCAAGGGCAGTGCTTGCCAGCATGGTTCATGTGTGACTGATTCCAGAACGCCAAGGGCATCATGCCTTTTCTGAAAACCTGTCCCAGGTCTGGTCCAGGCAAGGCTGGATGACAGCGCGGCACGGATGTAACTTGGATTCAAAACGGTGGGGGCAGCATTAATGGTGATGCACTGACGAACCATGACGAAGTGAGAGGTTGTGTGAGTGGTTCCAGAAGATGCCTTTGGCGAAGCTGAAGCACCTGGACATCAGTGTTTTGGCGCACTGAATGTCCAGCATGATGAGCAGCCTAGTTTTGCCCCTTACCTTGCCAGACCAAGAGACCAGCGTGGACTTGAAGCAGCAATCTAAGGCGGCAATCGTTTGACTCGCATCTTGGCTTGAATTTCAGCGCAGCTTCAGGTCCTTGGAGTCCAAAGAATTGCAGGACAGCCAGAAGGGCTTGGAAAGCTAATCAAGAAGTGGCAAACTCTTCCATGTTGTTCTCACCAAAACAGGTGAAGCGGTTGCTCGCCTGCTAGGTGCTCTACATATGAGCCTTAGCTGATCAGCTGCACATGCACAAGGCACTGCTGTCCTAAACATTCCATGTTTATGTATTCAGTGATTCAGCGCGCCGTTGATGCATCGGCCATTCCAGGAGCGCCAGCTTCAAGCAGCTGAAGAGTCCTGAGGGGCATCGATGCTCGGGGATTTCCAGAGAATGAAGCTGGTTCCGATGGAAAAAGCACACATCTTGCATGTGTGTGAGAATGCACAGGCGAACAATGGCAAGCCATTTCCGTGAAATGCCAGGGTAAAGAAGAAGGGCGAAAATTGGTTCTGGAGCTGGAAAAGACGATGGGCGGCTTCCTGTAGTGCTCTGAGATTCTGAAAAGATGTCATCCCGGCCCACCGGTGCGAGGCCTGCCGTGTTGTTTGAGCAGCTCATGGGACAGCCAAGGTGGAACAAACTGTTGAAGTAAGCCCAGACGGACAAGCTTCAAGCAGGGCAATAACCTTGCATGTACAGTCTTGCATGAGCGTCTGCTTGGAAGCAGCTGAGAAGCAAGAACATACCATTTGTATGCGATTCAAAAAAAAGGCTTCAAAAGTTAGTTAGCTTCACAAAACCGAATGAGAAATTTCCCAGCAGCTTTGCAGCAATCCAGTTTGAACTATATGAAGACGCAATTAGTATTGGGCAAATCTTTGAGTCAGATACCAACTTCAATTGATCAAAATACAAAATTCCCAGATATTCATAGACGACCTATCACAAGGAGAACAAGGATTTCGACCGCACGAGAGAAGGCTAAAGATCTATAAACAAACGCCGGCAAGACAAACAGATAAATATTGAAAGATAGATAACCAAATAGAACGATAGATAGATAGAGACCAATGACGACAAACAAAAAAATGAAAGAGAGAAGATAAAGACTGACGCAGAGATAGATAACAAAATATACAGGCAAATCGGGCCTCTCGCCTTTTATCATGGACGGCTTGTTGGCAAAGATCTAGCGATTCCGAGAAATCTTTGACCCGATGAATCGATATTTTTTGAGAATAATAGGTTAGACGTAATGAAGGACTAGAGTCAAAACGGAATTTAGCTCGTATTATTTATGAAGATATCAATTTTTCAATATATTCAAAATATTCATATATTTATATTCATATTTCAATGAATTGAAAGATTCTCATGATAATATTCTTCAATTTTTTCTAATTAATTGAATGGTCATAGATATCAATTTTAAGGAAGCAGACGATTCTGATTTTTAGGAATATTGTACTTTCTTTTAATTAAGGGTCTCGAAATATTATTATTTAATTAATAATATTAATAGAGAGCTCTGCGCTGCCGGCCTGGATTTTCGGAGTAATATATTTATATATACGTATAGATATATATATATCTCATTTAAGATACTGGATATATTATCGGTATCTTGGTTGTCATGATAATTCAAATATAGAGACAAAAAAACTTGAAATATAGGAAGCTCTATATGAATAGAATAATTAACGGCATGGGCTGGATCTGGAGGCCTCTCATGAATGGAAACATCAATTAGCATGGGCATTGCGTCTCTGTATACATACACATAAATGTTTTTCCGTTTCTGCATGCCTGCACATAATTATTTTTCCGTTTCTAGCCAACCTCTCGGATCATCGGCGATTAATCGCTGATTTTGGCTTCGAAGCTGGCTTCTTACGAATTTCTTTATATGAATACGGATTGCTCTGTTTGCTATGTTTAATGTATTGATTCAATTAACCGGTCTTGCGCTGCTCAACAGCGCGATTATACAGGGTACCATAGTGAAGGACCTTAAAGGCATGACGTCCGTTATAACTTCGTTGAGGATACGCACGAACCCCCGGAACCAACTGAAAATTTGTTCTGCAACACTGGTCTTAGTGATACGGATCCTTCTGGCCAAGCTTGGACAATAAAAGGGATTGCATATGCAAGATTTATTATGAGAATAAGCGTGAAACTTAGCTATAATCCAATATTTCATTTGCTAGAAACGCTTCGACTTCATTGCGCGCGGGAGGAAGCAGCAAGCCCGGTCGACGGCCCCATAATTCATTTTTGGGAGAGCGGCATGACGGTGGAGATTGCCTTCGGGCTTCTGCATTGGCTTAACCCAGAAGATATATTTATCCGCGG